CTCCGCCCATTTATACCAAAGGGGAAGTGCGGAGTTCCCGCCAAAACCATTAAAGCTGTAAAATCTTCCCAATAAAAGGCACTGCACAGGTGCAGCATCCGTACGTGTGTGATGCACACAGACCACAATGAAAAACTTTCCTTAGGTACAGGGAGGCCATCTACCACCTTCCTCTTCTGTTCACTATGTACATACTTCTCAATACACATGAATGTAATCCAGGCAAAGTTCCACTAAGCACTAAACTATGCAACTGGACAATTTCCAGTCATACTGTGTGATGAGGCATGTAGTTTTCTAGAGAAGCATCCCACTTGGACTTGATCATGCAAAATTTAGGTAACACCTGAAGTCCTTACTATGATGGCATATGTGGTTCACATAAAATTCACTGAGGTAAACACTAATAATCTTTACTCAACCAAATTCATGCAATTACTTTCCCATGGGATTTTTCTAGTCATTTATACTTCATTATAGACTATGGCTACGGAGTCCCTGCTGTGTCAAAAATGTCAAATAAAATTATCCCGCATTCACTATAACTTCTTTTTGTTCCCATCCAATTAGTCTTAGCTTTTTAAAATTTATCATAAAAATGAATGAATGCATGTATGTAAGACACTGAAGGTACGAATAGTATTTTATTGTACATAGTCACACTACCAAAGTGTGCCTGAGCAAACACTTCTGTCCTGACAATGCTATTTCATGGCACACAAAACTTCAAGACTGAAGTATCTGGTTTTTGCAGCCTGTAATAAGTGAAAATTGAAGTAATTCACACTTAAGACAATTTAATTACGCCAAACTTTTTAAAATCCAAACTAATCTTCATCTCCAGTATAACAAATTGGTTATGTATATATAATAAGCAAAATTCCAAGGAATCTTGGACTATTGCTTATGGGCAATAAAGCATAAAATGTTTTAATAAATAATAAATAAATAAATAAATATCCTCATGTACACTGCCCAATTCTTACCATTCAGTTCTTTTCACCCAAGGAAACATCTAACCAAACCAAAAACTCATCAGGACATAAAAGCTTAGTACTATAGCTAAACTGGATCTCCTGGATTGCCTTCTGGGTGTTTAAGCCAAAATCTGAAAGCAGGACTTTCCCATTCCTTGCTTGTTTCAGAGAAATAAACCAGAAGACAAGTTCAGACCAAACACTGAGCTTTTCCTTAATGGTATACTCCTGGTTCAGCTTCTCCCACTTGTAGAAGGAACCAAGCAAGAGCAATTAGGCAGTAAGTTATAAATAAGTTCAAGCAATAAACCAGGATTCTCAAAAGTACTGGTTTATTGTTACATGCAAATATACCCATCATTTTAAAAGCCATTATTTTAACAGTTATTCTATTATCTTCTTGTTGTCTTTCCCTCATAATTAGTATTTCCACTTCTCTGTACAGTTTTCAAAGACCTTCATATGCACAACCTTAATAATTCTTACAATAACCTTAAAAGTCAACATTAAATAACTGTAGGATGAAAACTGAATCTAGGAGACTGCCTTCAACACCTAATATGGTTCCCGTAGAAATGAAAACTGAACCAGTCAACAGCTCATAGCCACTGTACCACACCAATTCTTGGACCATACAAATGACACTATTATGTGCATGCTTATGATGCACCATGCATAGTAACACTTTGTAACATAATGTCCAGTTATACTTATTAACTGTGTACTACCAAATTACCATAACTATGCTTACCCTCAAATGTTACGTCATTTGAACCCAGCACGAGTAGGGTAGGGTAGGGTTACAAACCACCTCAGAACCCATGCCCCCTCATTGGTTTTGCACAAGTGACAAACAATGCCCACTGAGGATAATTATGGCAATTCAGTGGCATACAGCTAGCTTGCTTGGGATGGAAAAATAAGGTATGGCAACTTATTTTATTTCCCTGATTGTGCAAGCCCATCCAGTGAACTAGTCCACCTCTTACAGCAGACAAAACAAACATACTACATCATGTCCACTGAACATGGAAAGTTCTGTGCCATTTAGCGGTAGAGATGTATGTGCTACATCTCAACCTAACAAGTCACTCGAAGGATCTGAAAAAAGAAGCAAGGCAAATACAAAGCAAAGCCTATAGTTTCATGAAATAGAAGTCCCCTTGCTTTTTTAAAAACCAAGTTTTATTTGGTATGGATATAGGATTATATTATCTGGAATTGTACAAATTGGATTGTTGACTATTTAGCACACAGTAAAGATAGTTTCAGTAAAACCAAAGTGGATAAAAATCAATGTTTTTTTTAAACAATAAAAATCAGATTTTTAATCTGAATCCAATTGTTTTGATTTTAATTGGATTTTTTTCAATAAAATGCTTTTTGAGGAAAAATCTATCTAAATGCAATTTTATAATTAAGATACATAGTCCAAAGATTATTCATCAATAAGGATTAATGTTTAATTATGTAGCATGAGACTATATATTCATGAAATGTTCTGTTTTTTTTTTTAATGAATTTATGTATTTATTTATAAAATTAGTATGCCGACCATTACTTCCGTCTCTGAACGGCTTACAACATTAATCAGAATAAAATAAATTAAACATTCCATGCTGGCTGAAAAACCCATAAAATACAAACAAGAAAATTCAATTAATACATATTAAAATATTGATCGAATGAAAAGGTCTTGACCTGGCGCTGAAAAACATATAATGATGGCACCAGGCGGACCTTTCTAGGGAGCACATTCCATAGCCACCGCAGAGAAAGCCCTGTCTCCTAACGTCTTTCACAGAGGGTTCCCAGAGGAGGGCTTCTGCTACCGATATCAGGGAGCAGGAGGGCATATTGGGAAAAAGGCATTCCTTTAGGTATCCTGGTCCCAAACCATTTAGGGCTTTATAATTCCATTATAATCCATTCACAATGTCATGTTCTTTCAGAGGTTTCTGCAAGATTATTGGGCAATTTTTCTATCTAAAAGATATTATTGCAGATTGGTTTTACAATTCTGCAGAGATCACATGCCTCTTCTTCTCAGCAAATATGTTATAGAATATACAGAGTTGAGAAAAGACCTTGATCCCGTTGTTCCTTTGTAAATCTGTGTAAACAGAATCAACCCCTTACCTCTCAAGTGCTAAGGTTTTTTTTTTTTTAAATTGATGAATAGAAGATTGTTGGGAGTGGAATAGATCTGCACAAGAAATTAGGTGTGGGCACTGGGGCAAAGCAGTAAAAATGAAAGTGAAACCTTTTGAGCTGAATACTCCACAAGTCCTTGGATCTTTTTCTGTATAGCCTGGGGTTTATCATATTATTCTTTCCCTGGGGGATTAAACCTATAATGTAGCAGGCCATAAAATATTCCAGTTTGGGAATATTTCAATGAAGTTCCTCTAGCTATAGGTAAGGCAGGCACATATGCAAATTATGCAGAAAACCATGATTTAAATTTAGTCTTACTGACTAGTGATTTAAATTGTTAGTAAAATTAAATCATGATTAAAATTGTGATTTAAATTAATTTGATTTAAATCCAACCTACTCTAAGCAAAAGTGAAGGGTACATTTATTCTTCTTTCATCCTGCTGTCCACTATCTTTAGGTAAACACTTATCTTAGAAGAAACACACACCGTTTCTTTCAAAAATCACATTTAAGCCCAATTCTTAGATTACTAGAATAGCATGGCTTCTACTTCCCTAGACCACTGTGGCAATGCTGATTTCAAGGAATCACAAATAACCATGGTAATGTGCCACCCTTTTTCTGGTGGCAGCTGCACTAGCGCATTAACTTTCCACATAACCTGATCATCCCAAGCAATTCCTTCATGCAACTGTCACCACAGCAGTATCCTCATCAGCTCGAGCAAAATGAATGGCACAGTGTTCCACTAATGCATGATTCAAGCAACAGAACAGAGCCATTCTGTTTTTAATTATGATGCAATTAAATGCAAAACATGAACAATATTAATAGTGCAATAAGAGAATAAGGGATGGTATAAGAGAATAATCAGGTGATTTTTTTGAAAACCACTATCAACAGAAGACTACAACACTATCCTATGCCTCCCTGCAGTACTCCCCAAAATAAGCATATCCTAAACAGTTTCTCACAACCTATATGACAAATCACTCTAATGAACTATGATGTCGCATGAAACAGCTACATGGAAGTCTACTGGCATACATTCAAAGAGTTCTGTTAATGAAATGTTATAATGTCGCTAGTCCAGAAACCAAATCCATGCAGCTTAAAAAACTACCAAATCATCATTCAGCATCAGTTGGGATAGTTTAGCACTAGAGAGAACTAAAACATATTTCACAGTCTGTTAAATGTCCATGCAGGTACAATTTCTTTAATTACTTATGCCTCAATTTGGATTAATGGTTGCTTTAAACAAATCTGCTACCCAATACAGTTAAATGGAGTATTTTTGTGAATTCTTTGAATATTCTTGATTTCCTAATGTATACCATATTCCTGGTGCATGAAACTCTGACTCTGTGCCAGAGGTTAGTAGCCTAATTCATGCTTCTGAAACAATTTAGTGAGAAATACTTTTCTGAGTGTCACTGATCCTTAGTAGAATTATACATCATACAGGACTCCGATATAACTTTTAGATTTGATCTCAGTCCATATATAGAACTGCACAGAGCCAAGGAAAAAATATACAACTTCTTGTCACTAGCTATCCAGTAAACATTCTGGATCCAAGTTTTAACATGGGAAGGAAAAGTACTCACTATTAATATTGCTAATAGCATGGTAAACTATTCTACTTCCTTTGTATTATTCCAAACAAATTTTTAAACAAATGCACTTTTAAAAAAATATCTAATTTTACAAGAATTGCTATGAAGTGATATATTTGGTTTTATCCAGGAACACATCATTAAAAGATAACCTAATATGCAGATTTTTAAAATAACTGTAATGTTTCCATTTGACCAGCTGGTAATGGCAACTACTCAGACATTTTCAAAATAAAATACCTACCGCATTGGAATCAACATCACTGTGTATAGCAACAGTTTTAATTCCCATTTTCCTGCATGTTTTGATGACCTAGTAATGAGAAGAGATAGAGAAAGGGTGCTTTAAAAATAAGAACAAAAGCAATAAAATAGATAAAAAATATTTGGAAAGTTATACTTACCCTACAAGCAATTTCACCTCTGTTGGCAATAAGAAGCTTCTCAAAAGTCTGATGGAAAGGGGAGGGAAAAAGTAAAACAGCCTTAAGAACATAATATAAATATTTAAATATTTACACATACACTCCTCATTCAAGAAGCTGGAAGGTTTGGCAAAAGAGTGACTATGCAAATTCTATGTACGGCTTTTATCTGGAGTTCATGCATGTAGATAAAAGTTCCTAAGAATACCTACCACTGATACCTTGCTCATTGTTAAGCGACTGGTAGCAGGTCGGCTGCTTGTGCACTCTGTCCCAGCAGCCTTTCCTGCTTTAAGCATGGTCCAGTAATTACTAGGCCCTGATGATTACTCTGTTCTGTAAAGGAGTGGAGGCTGGTGATTTAAAGGAAGAGCTGTGGAAACCACTCCTAACAGGCCTACCCCAGAACACTTGCCTCGTCATGAAAAAGTCATTTTTGGGTAAGATGACTAAGAGAGTTGCAGCAGAGCAACTGCAGGCATTCTTGGATAAAGTCAATTATCTAGACCCTTTCTAGTTTTGGGACTTGAATCAGCCTTCATTTTACATTTCAATGACTTTTATCAAGAGAGGATTGTAATCTGGCTTCTCTTACACAATCTCTATGTGGGTTTTAATACCATTAATCATGGAATGGGCAGCTTTGTGGGGTGGGTATCAAGTGCAGGGTACTTCGGTGGTTCCTGTTCCTACCTAACACAGTCAATTCCAGACACTGGTGCTGGAAGAGCGCACCTTGGCCAACTGGCACTTGTGCTATGGGGAAACAGAGGGCACTATTTTATCCCCAATGCAACATCTATATGAAACCACAAACGACTGACATCTGCAGATTTGGAGTAAGGTGTTATCAGCGTACAGGCAATATCCAGTTTTATTTCTTCACAACATCTGAATCTACTGTGGCCATGTAGACTCTGGGCTAGTGCTTGCATGCCATGGTAAGCTGGATGAAAGCCAATAAACTACCACTGAAACCTGGCAAGATGGAAACACAGCTAGGTCGCAGATCCAAGAAACTGGTCAATGGCCTGTTTGGGAATAGAATTTGGTTCCTGATTCCTCACTGAGCAGATCAGAGGAAGCTGTCACAGCTGGTCTTGGGACTCTGAGATACAAGCAGCAAGTTCACGGAGAGCAAGCAATCAGAGCAAGCTAACAGGGAGAGCAAGTAAGAGTTTGGTGGCAGAGTTGTCATAGAGGAAGAGACAAAGGGATAAGGGACCTGGACTAGTCCAGCAAGTCTCTTCCAAGAGACCATGTGCTCCTGAAAGCTGAAAATGAAAGGGAATGGCCTGCGTACTAGCAGGTGCTGTGTGGGTGGGGAAATTCATTCTGGTTTCTAACTCCTAGTTGAGCAAATGTGAGGAAGCTGCCCCAGCTGTTCTAGGGACTCTGGGATACAAGCAGTCAAGCTCGTAGAGAATGGGTCCTCAAACTACGGCCCACGGACCGGATCCAGCCCACCATGCCCATTTATCCAGTCCGCCATAGAGGTTTTGGACACGCCGCACGCACACATGAGTATGCCGAGGCAGCGGCCTGCTTGTGTGGAGATTGTTTTGAACAGCAAAGAATGAGGTGGCTAGATTGAGTCACTGAAGCAGTCGGTATGAGCTTGAGTGGACTCCGGGGGATGGTGGAGGACAGGAAGGCCTGGAGGAGTGTTGTCCATGGGGTCGTGATGGGTCAAACACGACTTCACGACTAACAACAGCAACATATCTCTGCACAGAAATACAGGACGACATGCTTAGTAGCCCCATTAAGAGCATCAGGATTAATATAAATGGAGGAAGGAATAAAAGGAACGCTATAGTTTGAGTCTAGTACCAATCACCCAGTCAAGGAGAAGACGAGAATGAAACTTTTGAAAAGGTAATTGCCAGTGTTTCAAGAAGGTAACTGCCAGTGTATCATCGTTATGGGGAACTTCTATTTCCTCAATATCTGCCAAACATAACCCCTCTAAGAGATTCTTAACATGTGTTGCTGATAACTTCATCCAACAGACAGTGGAGGAAGAAACAAGAGGAATGACTATCCTTGACTTGATACAAACTAACACAGAAGTCTTAGTAGACAAAATGGCAGTTATGGGAACTCTGGTAGAAAGTGGCCATGCCATACTGGAATTCTTGATTCTAAAAGAGGCAAAGCCAATTGTTGCCAAACATGTACCCTGGATTTTAGGAAAGCCAATTTTAATAAACTCAGAACAATGGTAAGTCAAATCCCATGGCAAGTGACTCTAAAGAGAAAAGGAGTCCAAGACCAGTGGGAATTTTTTTGAAAAGGAAATTCTAAAGGTACAATTACAATTCTAGCAAGGAAAGGGGGGTAGGGGTAGGAGACAACAGAAGAAGCCCATGTGGCTTCACAAAAAGCATAGAAATGATCTGAACACAAAGAAGGGCATGCATAGGAACTGGAAGGAAGACCAGGCTACAAAGGAGGAATACAGGCAGGTAGCAGAGAATTGCAGGGATGGCTTCAGGAAGGCTAAAGCTAGAAATGAACTGAGCCTAGCTAAAAGCAACCAAAAGCATTCTTCAAATACAACCAAAGCAAAAAACAAAGGAAAAAATGGGAGGTTAAACTACTCAATGTGAGTGGCAAAATGATAACAGATGACAGAAAAAAGGCAGAAGTGCTCAATTCCTGCTTAGACTCAGTCTCCTCCCAAAAGAAGAGCTATGGCTTTCACGAAGAAGTAGAAGTACAAGCTGAAGGAGCAGGATGGCAGCTCAATATTGACCATCCTATACTGGAATTCTTGATTCTAAAAGAAGCAAAGTCAATTGTAGCCAGACATGTACCCTGAGTTTTAGGAAAGCCAGTTTTAATAAACTCAGGACAATGATCATCTAAATGAGTTCAATGAGTTCAAATCTCCATGGTCCAATGAAATCCATTCTGGAGTCATAAAGGAGCTGGCAGAAGAACTCTCCAAACCACTGGCCAGTAACTTAGAGAAATCATGGACAGCAGGGAAAGTGCCACATGACTAGAGAAAAGTAAATGTTGACCATATCTTCAAGAAAGGGGAAAAAGAAGAACCTGGGAAGCACAGACCAATCAGTCCAACATTAATCCTTGGGAAAATTCTGGCATACATCATAAATCAGTCAGACTGCAAACACCTTGAAAACAATGCAGTAATTACTAGAAGCAAACATGAATGCCTCAACAACAAATCCTGCTAGACTAATCTGATTTGATGTTTTGATTGGATAACCTCCTTGATGGCCTGTGGGAATTCTGTGGACAAGATCTATCTTGACTGCAGCAAAGCTTTTGACAAAGTGCTCAGTGATATCCTGATTAGCAAACTTGCTAAAAGTGGGCTAGGTGGAACAACTATCAGGTGAAGCTGTAGCTGGCTATAGAATCGGACTCAGAGAGTACTTGTCAGTGATACCTTGTCTAACTGGGGAGACATAACCAGGATGGAACCTGGGCCCAGTACTCTTCAATATCTTTATTAATAATTTGGATGAGGAAATGCAGATGACACAAAGCTAGGTGAGATAGGTAATACCTCAGAAGACAGAAAGAAGATTCAAGGCGATCTTGATAGGATAGAGTGCTGGGTTGAAAACAACAGAATTAAATTCAATAGGGACAAATACCACGTTCTCTACCTAGGAAAAGGGAAAGCAAATGCATCGTTACAAGATGAGGATCACTTGGCTCAATAATACTACAAGTGAAAAGGATCATGGAATTGTTATGGATCACAAGCTGAATATGAGAAGACAACGTGATGTAGCTGCAGAAAGGGCAAATGCTGTTTTGGGCTGCATTAACAGAAGCATCATTTTCAAGTCCTGTGAGGTACTGGCTCCCTTTACTCAGCACTGGATAGGCCTCATCTGGAGCACTGCATCCAGTTCTGGGCACCACGGTTGGAGAAGGATGCAGACAAGCTGGAAAGGGTTCAGAGGAGGCAACATGGATGATCCAGGGACTGGAAACAAAGCCCTATGAGGACAGGTGGAAAGAAGTGGGCATGTTTAGCCTGAAGAAGGGAAGACTGGGGGCAGATATGATAGCATTGTGCAGGTACTTCAAAGCCTGTCACCAAGAGGAAGTATGGAATCTCTTCTCAACCATCCCAGAGTGCAGGACACAGAAAATGACTTCAAGTTACATAAAGCCAGATTCTGGCTAGATAGCAGGAATTGTTGTTCCTGATTGTTATAGCAGTATATCAATGGAACCCATTACCTAGGAAGGTTGTGGGCTCTCCTACACTCAAAGCATTCAGGATAGAAATGGACAGAAAGAGGGATGATTTAACTTGAAGTGCTGCACTGAGCAGAGGGTTGGACTCAGTGGTGCTTTGCCCCTTCTAGCTATTCTATTTATTTGATTTATATGCCAGCTGATTAGCCATAGACTCTCTAGGTGAATTTCATATAATCAAGGAATAACATACAACAATAAAATAAAGCAATACTTTTGATAAAATTAATAATTATAAAACATAAATTAAATATATAAAATAAATAAATAACTGATAAATTAATAAACAGAGAGGGGATATAATCTAAATATCTAATAATATTCTATGATTCTGTGAATCATCCTGAGGGAATAGATAAATCCTGGATTCAATTTTGTCACTTGACAGTGAGATGGCTTTGGTGGCTGGGAGTGTTTTTTACCAGCTTTGGCTGATAATTGCAGACATTCCTAGCCTAGCCACAGTGGTAGAGGCACTGCTAATCCCAGGATGGGATTACTGTAATTATTCTATGCAGGGCTACTTTTGGGCATGGTCCAGAACCTGCAGTTCATGTACTGAAGCTGCTAATTGGAGCCTCCTTCCTAAAACCAGTTCTACTCCAGAAAAAAGAACTGCACTGACCTAGTTCAAGGAGTTGGTGTTGCCATAAAAAGCTATAAACAACTTGAGATCTGGCTGCTTTAAAGGCTCTCTTACTCTTTATGTCTCTGCCCAAGCTATGCAATCGTTAAAGGATGTACTTTTGAGGGTGCCACATGTTCCAAAGGATCATCTCAGAGCACTTTCAGGAGAGAATTTAATGTAGCATCTAACTTCTGGAACATTTTGCCAATTGATATTAAACAGGCCCCACAGTGCTGATGTTCAAGTGTCTTCCTAAAACTCGTATCTCTAGGTTTTTCCCTTTAATGTGACCTGGACAACTATGGTGTGTAGCACACGTACGTGTGTGTGTGTGTTTTCAGATAAATTATACCATATTTCCCCAAAAATAAGACTGGGTCTTATATTAATTTTTGCTCCAAAAGACGCAATAGGGCTTATTTTCAGGTGATATCTCATTTTTTCACATACAACAATCTACATTTATTCATGTACAAAAATCTACATTTATTCAAATACAGCCATGCCATCTTCTTCTGGAACATCATCATAACTCTCCAAACTCCAAATTGTGTTGCAACGGACGTACAAAATGCATTTGTCTGGCTGACGATCTTAACTGGGGCTTATTTGTGGGGTAGGGCATCCTGAGCATCCTGAAAAATCATGCTAGGCCTTATTTTCAGGTTAGGTCTTATTTTGGGGGAAGCAGGGTACTGTGCTTTTTTATTTTAATTGTTGTTGTTATATTTATGATTGCTTTGTGCCATTGTATTCTATGATCACCACTTAGATCTTTTGTGGAATATAAATCTGGGTAAAACAAATAATGACTTTAAAAAAAAAACCACAGTGGTTATTACCAATAACCAGGTTTCCCTTTCACTAGGATTCCTTAATATATAATCAAATGTAGGTTTCAACAGAAAAAAAGACTGCAACTCCTTGTATGACCCAGGCTATCTGTCTAAACACAGGTAAGATTGCTGCCTTAAAGAACTTCATATCCTGGCTAGTATCACTCCTGGTTGATGCTGGTACAGCTGCATCCATCAACCACAATTAAAACTAGCATGCTGAATTCACAGCAAGATGTTCCTACTATTAAGGATGTAGCACCACTGCCCATGCAATGGTCTCAACCTAGCAATACAACACTCCAGGATACAATGCCATTTCAGTCCACCCAAAATAGTTACATCTTTTCTTCACTGAAAGTAACAGCAGTACATTCATGCTGTCTTTTCCTCTGCATGTATATAAACACACACACTTTTAAGCTGTAAAGAAAGTTGGCTAAAGGTACACTAATTACAAGCTGAGTAATAGACATCTGAATTGTATATACAAAGGAAACATAAAAGTACAAACCTGTGACAACCTTAAGAAATTAAGTATTTCACTGTATCTAATACATATATAGAAGCTACACATTATCTCAGAGAACTGACTTAAAACTTATTAGCTAATGTTCTTTGTGTCAATTTTACATTAATTCTCTGAAATTCTGCTTAACCTTAATATATTTCTTTTATGAACTACTTTTCCCACACATCTCTGTAGTCAGACTAATAGCAAGTACAGAGCAACACAGCAAACTAAGTTAACAAGTTCAAATACAAACCATAGTTAATACAAGCTGCAAGCAGTGCTCCTCTCCAGCACCAAGAACGGCTACTGTGTGAGCACCAAAGAAAGGTCTGCTCACAGGGGCTTGCCAGAAAAGCATCCTCCCATAACAGTACTTCTCTCCAGTGCCAGAAACAGCTGCTGTGTGAGTAACTGCAACTGGTATTGAAGAAAGTTCTGATCTTGAAGGGCTTGCCGAGAAAGCATCCTGCCCATGACCACTCCACAAGCGACAACCCTCTTTCATGCTAGCTACTGTAAAAGAAGGTCTGTTTGTTTGTTTTTGGATTTTATCCTGCCTTTTTCCTACAAAGGGCTCAAGGCAGCTTACATCTCCTCCTCCATCTTGCAGGTTTGTGCAACCAGGGCTCCTCAGGCATTCATAGACTTCCTTCCAGTTCAGCTTGCCTTGAAAGACCATGCTGAGCACAAGGGGAAGCCTGTGAATGCTTGGAGAGACCTTACCCAACCATACTCGGGTTACCAAACCAGGATGGAATCAAATATAAACAAGCCAAGGCAAAGCTTGTGGTTTATTGTTAATTCTTAATCAGGCCACTGTGTTGATAAAATAAGCTAATCAGTTGTTAAAGGTCAAACCATGAGTTGGATCCAAGGTTTCCATTCTGGTTATAGAAAAATCATCTCCCACGAGCAGTACTAAAGCCTAACCAAGTTAACCAATGTCCTAATACCTTTGGACTCATAAGATGGTCTTCTGGCATGATCCAACAGCATACAGCCTGCAGATCCCAGCAAGATTTTAATGCTTGGATCTGGAAACAGGTAGAGGCACAGATCCAGTAAAAAAGCCAAATTAGGCTTGCCTGCCTGACAGAGGAAAAGTCAGCTCGGTCCCAAAATTGCAATATGAGAAAAATATTGAATAGTTTGGTACACAACTGGTTCTCTGAATCAACTTTTGCTATTAGGGCTACAGTAACTCAGTGATGCAGTGGGTTAAACTGCTGGGCTACTGGGCTGGTTGATCGAAAGGTCGACAGTTCAAATTTGTATATGGGGTGAGCTCCCGTACTCTGTCCCAGCTCCTGCCAAACTTGCAGTTTGAAAGCATACAAATGCAAGTAGATAAAAAGGTACCACTTTGGTGGGAAGGTAACAGCAGTTCATGCACTTCGGTGTTTACTCATGCTGGCCACATGGCCATGGAAACTGTGGCTCCCTCGGCAAGGAAACAGAGATGAGCACCACAGAGTCAGACATGACTGGAATTTAATGTCATGGGGAAGCCTTTACCTTTTTTAACTCTTGACTACTGAAAAGCATGCATAAATCTCTATTTTGTTAGAACAAAGACTTACCTTTTCATTTGGATCATATGTTCCTAAGTGCAAACTGCGAGAAGTAATAAGGCACAATCTCCCTGTGGTAAGCTGGGAAAAACCCTGTAAAAGAAAGAAGAAAATTACAGATGATTAAGTTAGTCATGGATATCCTTCATGGATCACTGGATCATGGAGAAAGCTAGGGAGTTCCAGAAAAACATATACTTCTGCTTCATCGACTATGCTTAAGCCTTTGATTCTGTGGATCACAACAAATTGTGGCAAGTTCTTAAAATGATGAGAGTTCCTGACCATCTTATTTGTCTCTTGAGAAACCTATATGCGGGTCAAGAAGCAACAGTGAGAACTGGACACGGAACCACTGATTGGTTCACAATTGAGAAAGGAGTTTGGCAAGGCTGTATACTGTCGCCCTGTCTATTTAACTTATATGCAGAGCACATCATGAGAAAGGCAGGGTTAGATGAATCACCAGTTGGAATTAAGATTCCTGGGAGAAACATCAACAACCTCAGATATGCAGATGATACCACTCTCATGGCAGAAAGTGAAGAGGAACTAAAGAGCCTCTTGATGCAGGTGAAGGAGGAGAGCGCAAAAGCTGGCTTGAAACTCAACATTAAGAAAACTAAGATCATGGCATCCGGTCCTCTCACTTCCTGGCAAATAGATGGGGAAGAAATGGAGGTAGTGACAGATTTTATTTTCCTGGGCTCCAAGATCACCGCAGATGGGGACTGCAGCCAAGAAATTAAAAGGCACTTGCTCCTGGGGAGGAAAGCTATGGCAAATCTAGACAGCATACTAAAAAGCAGAGACATCACCCTGCCAACAAAAGTGTGTATAGTCAAGGCTATGCTTTCCCCAGTTGCAATGTATGGCTGTGAAAGCTGGACCATAAGGAAAGCTGAGCGCCAAAGAATTGAGGCCTTTGAATTGTGGTGCTGGCGGAGACTCCTGCGAGTCCCTTGGACAGCAAGGCAATCAAACCGGTCAGTCCTAGAGGAGATCAACCCTGACTGCTCTTTAGAAGGCCAGATGCTGAAGATGGAACTCAAATACTTTGGCCACCTAATGAGAAGGAAGGACTCCCTGGAGAAGAGTCTAATGCTGGGAACAATAGATGGGAAAAGAAGAAGGGGACGGCAGAGGATGAGGTGGCTAGATGGAGTCACTGAAGCAGCCAGCGTGAGCTTAAGTGGACTCCGGGGGATGGTGGAGGACAGGAAGGCCTGGAGGAATGTTGTCCACGGGGTCACGATGGGTCGGACATGACTTCGCGACTAACAACAACAACAAGAGAGTCATAGCAAATGTTTTGAAAAGGTTGCTCTTGTAAGAGCTGCAAGTTATACCAAATATTTATAAAACAAAAAGGAATAACATGGAGGGCAGGGCCAAAACAGAGAAAGACTGGCATTCAGTGAAGCACACTTCAAATAGCATTAAATGTAAAGAATTTCTACAAAACATTAGTTAGCTTTCTGATTAGGTATCATAAAATATCCACAAAATCAAAATTGCTTAAAATGAATATAAATATATTTTGATTGTTTATAATGCCATTATATACCTATAAAAGCAACCTTGACAAAGTTCTTTGGGGCTTACTCCAAAGGAAGTAGGGAAAGGGCTGCAGTCTTTATTTTAGGATTCCTGGTGTGTCTAGCAAATGCAGAAATGGATTCACCAATGCAAAACCAGTGTTGAATGAATACCATTTTAGTGTAACAAAAGGTTGTATTAATATATCTTCCTACACATTCAGTCAGCACATCTCAGCACTGACTTGCAAAATTCTCTGGAATTACTATGTTCAGAATAGATGCTTCAAATTCCAGATGTGTACAGAAACATAAACGACTGGATACTGAGTACATGTCAGTAAAATCCTACTAATGACCAGGTTTCAAACAAAAACTCTGACCAGACTCTAATTAAAGTTCTGCTTGTTTTCTCCTCCACCCACCTATTGTCTCCCAGATGGTGACATTGCATTTATCAAGTACAAGCTTTCTCCTCCACTGTATTGGCCTTATGCACCCATAAGAAACTATTTTTACTTCTGAAATAACCAGTTATTTTCACAAAATGCAGTCATATAAATACATGCATCCCCACACGTTTTTATGAAATAATTACATGAAGAATAATTAGGAAAATATTAAATATAATTAATAAATCTGGGGAAATTAAAAATTAATAGTTTTAAGGTACAATCCAATGCCAGTTCATATAGAAATATAAGGGTTCTTCAAAAAGTTTTCACACTTTTTTAAAGCTCAATTTATTAAGAATTTCAAAAACAAATTACATTCCTTTTCTGCATAGTCACCTTCCTTTGTGATGCATTTTTCCCAATGTCATACCAACTTTTTAATGCCATTGACAAAAAATATGTAAAATATATTTATAAAATATAAAAATGTGGAAACCTCTTGTAATTTCTATAACTCCCATCAATCCCTAGCCAACTTAGCTGAGGAACACAGAGCTGTAGGATGTTTTTTCTGTCTCAATATGCATAAGTTTTCTCCTTTAGATCTTTTAAATGCAGAGAAAGATTTTGACAAAATAGAATGGTACTTTTTGATGTATTTAATGTATGACTTGAATTTACTACTTGAATGCAAGTCATATATTCAAAACCTTGGACCAAGATTATCACAAGTATGTTCTACCTTTGCTTAACAAAAATACAACACAAGAATGTCCATGGCTGATATGACTGTTTGTATTAGCATTAGCACCACAGGAAATTATTATATATAAAACAATAAAAATATTTGCATCATAAATATGACTTTTTATTTAGTATTTGTTTTAGATTATGATTTATTCGTCTTGCTGCTGGTTTATTGTTTTACCGTCCTGTTGTGCTTATCCTCCTGTTGTATTTTATACAGTATTTTTATTGTATGTATTATGGTTTTTGCTGCCACTGTTATCTATTTTTATCTGTATCGTAGTTATGATTGCAATATGGGCTGCCCAGAAAGCCTTCTGGCTATGGGGCAGCATACAAATCCAATAATAAATAAATTTAGGTAGATATGTAAACAATATGTAGGTGACACTAAACAATTCTTTAATTCCATTCAGAGTATTGGAAAAAATATTTATGGACATTTGGGAAATTATGCATTAAACAAAAAGATGATAACTGAAATATCTTTAATTTTATCTTTTAAAAAACATTAATTTTAAAGAAGACGCAAAGAAGCTTTTAAAAGCTTTTGAAACTGTAGACTATCACTGGACTGAAAAATAATTTGGTATCTAAGCAAGCAATCCTATGACCACTGAAGGGCCATAGGATTCGTCAGATTCCCAGATCCAAGGGCAGACGCTGCTCATACCTCAGAGCTAGGAAGTGACATTTTGAGCTGCTCCTCCCCAAGAGGGCTGAAAGAACAGCACCAGGTGTTCTCCAAGACTGGGAAAGCAAACCCAGAGAGGAATACAAGGGGTGCCCCTCCTCTCCAAGGTGTTCCAGTTAGATGGTGAAAAAGCCCATCTAGTGAAAAACTAGAGCAGGTAGACAGGAAAGCATAGATTATTTTGCTGCTCCTTCCACACTGCACTGCATGCCTCGAAGCCTCCAAGTGTTAGGCTTAAAGACATCACAATGGGATTCTGCCCTAAGTATGCAACTTTCAAGAATATTGAGGACCTGCATGTTTTATCTACATGACCGATTTATACAGTGGTACCTTGGCTCACAAATGCCTCCATTCATGACCAAAGCAGGCTGCAAACAGAAATTTCAGAAAAATCTTGCCTCAGGTCGCAAACTCCGCATTGGGTGACAATCGTGTCCCTGTGCAATCGCAATCATGCTTGGGCGGGGAGGGGGATGGCCGCAATCACAGTTGCGCTTATGCAGGGAAGACGGGCACTATTGCGGTTGTGCTCGGGGTGGTGGGGGGGGAGACAGCTGTGATTGTGCTCAGAGGAGGGAGATGGTCATGATCTTTGTTGTTCATTGTTAGTTTGTTGTTCTTTGTCACTGTTTCAATTTTTTGTGATTAAAAAAAATGGTTACAGAACGGATTAACCTTATTTACATTGAACCTTATGGGGAAATTTGACTTGGCTCACAACCAATTTGGGTTGCGACCAGAGTCATGGAATGGATTAAGTTTGTGAGCCAAGGTACCACTGTATAAGGAATGTATGGTTCTAATTTATGGATGATCAAATTTGACCATCTATTTCTTAGGCAGAAACTCAGCTGTAAAATGTCTTTACTACATAAACAGAAATAAAGTAGCAATATTACTTTATCACTTTTACTTTACCAGATTAGACTATCAAAGGCATATCTAAAAAATAAATGACAAAAGCTGATATCACTAGAGCCAAGGATAAAATAGTAAGTTTGAAAAGACTAAAAAGGTGGTTTGAGAGTCCCAAATATAAAACATGATTGTTCAAGTTGTACTATTTGGCAAGTTGAGTAGATAAAAGGTCTAACTTCCATATTTCAGGATCTGAAGAGACTTGTGTGAATGTATCATTACATAGTTTGCCAAGCATGTATAATAACCAAAGTCCAAAAATAAAAAACCCTTTATATCAAATCTTCTTCAAATCTGGAACAAATTTAAAATGAGAACAAACTCAGCTAAATCACTGTTAGCAATACTTGCAGATGGTTCTGAACTTAACAATCGGAGCATTGGATTATACTGAAAAAGAACAGATGGGATGCTGGACATTTATAATGGCTTAAGTATTTTCAAATCAGAGCTTTTTTGACAGAGGTACTTAGCAATAGCCAATTAAGACAATTTACAGAATGTAAAAAGATAATAATATGGAAACAGCACTTATTTAAAACACAAATCCTTGTCAAATGTGAACATGAAAAAGATCAGGTAAATGAATATATGGCAAGATGGGCACAGGATATAGGAGATCATATTTATATAAGTTTGAAAATAGCTGCACTTGAGAAAAATATGTTCTTATGCAACAGTAAAAACTGTTCCAAGACAATAGAAAGATGGTATGTAACTCCGGTTGCAGTGAGCAAGGTCAATGAGAATTACAACCCTCAGTGCTACTAATGCTGTAAAGGATTATTTTTTTATCAT